TTATCCAGCTTAAACTGCTGTTTCCTTTCGTTCTGTCCCTTGTTCCCCGGGAGCAGAGCCCAACCTCCCCCCAGCTCCCCCCTCCTGTCAGGGAGTTGCAGAGCCAGAAGGTCCCCCCTGAGCCTCCTTTGCTCCTGGCTGAGCCCCCCCAGCTCCCTCAGCTGCTGCTGCTGCTCCAGCCCCTTCCCAGCTCTGTTCCCTTCTCTGGATGTGCTCCAGCCCCTCAATGTCCTTCTTGTTGTGAGAGACCCAAAACTGCACTGTGAGGTGCCTCAGCAGTGCCCAGCACAGGGACAGGCAGTGCCCTGGCCCTGCTGCCACACAATGGCTGGTACAGCCCAGGTGCCATTGGCCTTCTTGCCCACCTGGGCACACCTGGGCTCATGTTCAGCCACTGTCAACCAGCACCTCTAAGTCCTTTTCTGCCCAGGCAGGTTTCCAAACCCTTTTTCCCCAAGCCTAGAGCATTGCCTGGAGTTGTTGTGACCTGGATCCCCTGTTTCACCTGCCTTGGCCTCGAGTGGGCACAGGAAGGGAGAAGAAAATGCACCTGTGGCTTTGCAGTTGCAGATGCTCCTGTCCTCAGTGCAGGGCTGCCCAGGATGACGTCCTTTCCCTCAGCATCTTCACTCACACCTGGGGACATTTGCAAACAGACACCCTGCCCAAAACACCCAGAAGGATTCCCACACATTCCTGTGGTTAAACATCACACCCCCTTTCCTGTACGCTGAGATAGTCACAGGCCCGAGTCCAGTTGGGATGTCCCAGCTTATGTTCATGTGGCCCTGCCCACAAGAGTGAGCTTCTATTTCTCCACTGAAGTGCTACAACATCCTTGGTGTGACCACCACTTCTGTAGAAATCCATGGAGCCAAGACCACGTTGTTCTCTGCCCTTTTCACAGTTTCCTCCTTGTGACCTGGAGAAAAAAAAGGATCCCAGGGATCCCAAGCAGGGCCTGGGGTCAGGCTTGGGGCCATTTTTTAGCACATCAGGCTTTTGGCAAACTCAGGTAAGGGATCTTGCTCGTGGTAGATGGGCTCCTGAAAAGCCGTGGAAAAACCCTTGGACTGAAGAGGAGATATTTTCTGAGAGACACAGGGCATTTCCAGCCTTTGATGACACCAGTTGATAACTACAATGGTCATCAAACCAACAACGAAAGTGTGGACACTTCAGTGCTCAGCTTTGTTTTTATGGCATCCAAACACAATCCCCTCAGCACATTCCCACCTCTTTTTTTATGTTCTGCAGGCGTCTCCAGCTGGCCTGTTGTGCATTTTGGGGGGGTTGCCAGCCACTAAAGCCATGTCAGAAGCGGGAAGTTGTTTTAGAAGTATCTGTTTGGCAAAAGAATCATTTGCCACCACCTTTCCCTTTTAAATGGCTTCCGTGGAGCCAACCAGAGTCTGGTAAGACACAGATTTGGAGCCACCTCCCAGAAGAGGTGAGGGGAGCAGGGGGTGTTTAGCTGTAGAACACGGGCTTGCGGAGCACACGCACCACGTTGTACGTGTTCAACCCCGGGGCATCGAAGCCTGGAGACAAACCCTTGCGGTCAAAGGGGTAAAAGTTAAAGAGCTGCCCATTTTGGGTCTCCAGGGAGATGGAGGCAGAGCCCAGGTGCAGGACACACGGGAACTCCTTGTCAAAAACGACTTGGAAAACACGATCCTCCAGGTGGTGGAGCTTGATTGTCCGGTACTTCTCGGGGATCAGCTCTTCTACGTGAGGCCCAAACTGCTGCATGATCAGCACCCCACCAATGCCAACTTTGATCTCATAGAAAGTCAGGTTGGAATAGGTGTAGTAGCCAACATAAGGGATGGGGTTTGGAGGGGGAACCACGCTCTTCTCTGCCTCCCTGAAAGCCGTCTCCATGGCCGGAATGAGATACTCGTAAGTCTGAGTCACAACATCCCCACCCTGAGGCCTGGGCCCCGACATGAGCACGATGAAGCTCAGGTGGAGCTTGGGGATAAGAGAGAAGGTGGCTGAGTAGCCATCGAGGTCCCCATCCTTCCTGATGACATCGTAGCCCAGCTGCTCGTTGATCTCCCAGGGCGTGCCTGTCTTGTTGGCAAAGTAGTCGCTGGAGCACTTGAGCAGCGGGGTCAGCATGGTCTTCACCGTGTCCGGCTCCAGCAGCCGGCGGTGGTAGGTGCCCAAGAAGACCATGGCCAGCTTGGCCAGGTCGGCAGCCGTGGAGTACATCTGCCCAGAGGGTCTGTACCAGCCCAGGTCGTAGAGCGGGGCGGGCTGGCGGCTGCCGTAGAAGCCCACGGCCATCTGGGCGCGGATGGGCGGCGTCAGGTCGAAGCCCGTGTCCTCCATGCCCAGGCGGTCCAGGATGTGCTCCGAGATCCAGCGCTGGTACTGCCTGTCGGCCCCGTGCTCGGCCAGCACGTGGGCCAGCAGGGAGAAGGCCAGGTTGCTGTAGTGGCACCTGGGAAAGAAGGAGGAATATTTCGGGATCAGCTTTGCCCGGCGTGGATGGGACAAAACGGTGGCTGTGCCTGTTGTTTAGGGGGTATTCACATTTTAGGGAATGATGTGCTAAAGAGAGAGGAGAGATGAAG